TTTAAAAACACAATTTAAAAATCATACAAGCTCCCACTGGTTGGAATAGAAAATGGGCAGCAGCTATGAAAAACAGTATGACAGTTCTTCAAAAAATCACGTAAATGGAATTATGTGATCTAGTAACTCCACTTCTGGAAATAAAATAGAAAGAATTGAAAGTGGTGTTTTGAAAGAGATATTTTTACATCCATGTTTACAGCAGCCGTATCTACAATAGCCAAGATGTGGAGGCAATGCAAGTGACCATCAGTGGATGAATGGATAAACAAAAGGTGGCACAACACAGGGTGCCTGGGTGCCTCAGTCGTTAAGTGTCTGCCTTTGGCTCAGGTCATGATCCCAGGGTCCTGGGATTGAGTCCCACATCAGGCTCCCCGCTCTACGGGAAGCTTGCTTCTTCCTCTCCCACTCCCCCTCCTTGTGTTCCCACTGTGTCTCTGTCAAATAAATAAATAAAATCTTTAAAAAAAAAAAAGGTGGTACAACACAGATGGAAACTTGAGGACATTGTGCTAAGTGAAATACACCAGTCACAAAACACAAATCCTGTATGATTCCATTTACATGAGACAACCGGAGTAGTCAAACCCCCAGGAAGAGAAAGGAGAATGGTGGTTGCCAGGGCCTGGCAGGCAGGGAGGGGAAATGGGGAGTTTTTTAATGTGTATAGAGTTTCAGCTTTGCAGGCTGCAAAGAGTTCTGGAGACAGGTTGCACAACTGAATATACATTGTGAGTAACAGTACTGAACTGTGCACTTAAAAATGGCTAACATGATAAGTTTATGTTATGTGCATTTTGCCATAATTATAAATAATTAAAAACAATACCTGAGTTTCTGGGTCTCACTCCTGATTTAATGAGCCAGAACCCAAGGCTGAGCCTGGGGAACCAATATTTTTAACAAGGACCCACAATTCATTCTGATGTGCATTATAGTTTTAAATCTGCTGCCCTAGTGATACACCACCTACATTCTGAATTTAGTAGACCACCATTTTCATTCATTTCATTCTAGCATTCCTGATCAAGGGCATATACTCTCAGCTGAGGAATTAGTTCCCAACTCACTACAGAATAGTCCAACTTACATAGAAGTTATTTATATAGCAATTTGATTACAAAGAGGACTTAGTTATTGACTAATCCCAATGATCACTGCTCTCCAAAGAGTGAGGCAAATTGTAAGTATTATCCATCTACAACATATAGAAAAACCGAGGCAAAAGGAGATCAAGTGTCCAGAAAAGACCAAATTTGAGGAAGATATAGTATCTTTTGGTAAACATTTCCTAATCACTGCATTGTGTTTACTACAAAAGAAATTTGAAGATGAATTCCCCTCTCCCAGAGTTCATAGATCTGTACTGACACCCCCATAACCTATGGAGATCAGAAACTTCCTCTTGCCAGCTAATATCACACCCCACACCCCATCACTTACAAATCCAAGGCCAGCTTATTTAGCCCTCTCTTTCCTCAGTCCCTAATTCTATGAACACTATTTTAAAATATTATGCAGCTTACCAATGTTTATAATCAATATTTTAACAGAGACTGGCAGTAATTAAAATTAGGTAAAAGAAATGTGAATCCAATTTTGAGACAGATGAAGGAAAAACAGATGTACTAGACATAATATTTTTTGGAACTCAAATCAAAATCAAACCTTATATTAACTTCAGGTCCTACCAGATGAGTCTCCTTTTTATTTGACGAAAGAGCAGACAGATATCTTGGGTAACAGGTCAGAATATTCACATCTCAAAGAACTAAAATTAAAAAAAAAAATTTCCATAATACTATTTATTCAGTAAGAACATGAGATGAGTGCTGTGCACAAAACAAAATATTTTGAAACATAGAAGTCTTCAAATTTTAAGGAAAATGACATACAAGCACACGAATTGCCAATCTGGGGCATATGCTATCAAGTACACCCAAAACAGTATTTTTTACATGGCTTCAAAGAAAACCTATTGTTGCACAAAATTAGATTAGATTTTAATGTTACCACGAATACAAAAAGCCTGGTTTCTCTGAAATAAAATTAGCTAAAAATTAACATGTGTTAATATTTGTGCCATAAAGAGTGCCAAGAATATACGTTTAGTCAAAAAAATTAACTTCTAACTGTTCAAAATGGCTCCTGGAGGCTCTTCTCTTTTTTTCGGCATTACTCATGAACTCTAGAATATTGATTTTAAAGTTTCCATTTTGAGAAATAGTAACAAAGCATTTGTTTAAAAAGCCTTGCAAGGATACCATCAAACCTTCTATGAGAGAATATTAAATTGACTAATTTTAGGACTCATTCACCAAATATGAGAATTTACTTAAAACAATTCATTGAGGATTTAAGTAATTTACGTTATAAACTCTTCTAATATTCATGAATGAAATTCAACCTGCCATTAGCAAGTCTGTGTTTCATAGACCACTAAACTCTCAATAAAGTCTATAGCAATAAACTTCATGTCACATCTGTACAGGTAACTTCAATGCAGTGACTCCAGACAATTACCATCGCCACTTAGATGAAGAAAGTCGGTAAGAACTCAGAAAGAGGTAATAGTGTGAAAACAAAAATAGCTAAATTGACTAATGCACCCTTCTGTAGGAAGCAAACTCAACTTTTTGCTGGAGAGCGGTCGTGAAAATATTGCCAATTGATGAGAATATTGCTAGACATTATGTTGACTTGGTTTCTTGTCTCTGATGGGTCCCTTTTGATTGACACTGGCGACTTTCTTGGTTGGCTCTCCTGTCTTGAATCAGAGGAGCTTATGCTAACTTTGATTTTAAAAGAGCCTATTTGTTTTTAAAGTCTGAAGAGATAAAACGTATGCTTTTAATAGTTGGAGTGCACACATAGGCCCACACAAATACCTATTTCATATGCAGATTTTATTTCAAGTTCCTGGATTGGGACAAAAACTGTACTATTTATGTTTTTATGGGTTTGTGGTTCACGGGAAAATAGCCTTTTTAAGAAAACTGACATTAAGTAGTTTGAATTATGAAAGGTTTATAAATTATTTAATGGATTGAAACAGTATTTGCCATAAGTGATTGGTATTCAAAGTCAATTGTTATTACAATCCAACAAAAACCTCATACAAAACAATTTATTGCTTTCCACCATCTACTTTGATGGAAGCCTATTTTAGGATTTCCATTAATATATAATTTTAAAATCTAATTTTTCCTCAAAAATCTTAAATTTGCTATATTTATGACATTATCAAGTAATTTCTAAAAGATAGTTAAAGCTAGATAATGATAGCCTGAAGTTTAATAACTAACATTAACAATAAAGCACAGGGGTTTTTTTAATAATACCAAGATATGAAACCTATTTTTACACATCAGAAAGAAGCACAAATGTTCCAAAGTCCATATTCACTAGTCTTCAACACAAATTTTACAAAACAGTACACCTACTGCATAGAAGAACATATAAAAATGAGACAACCTAGATGTCCACTAACTTATAACTGTAGCAACATACACTGTAATATTATATATATAATAATAATAAATTAATGAACTGTGGCTCCACTCATCTGCATGGATGGATTTTAACGTTTTTGAGCAAAATATCAAGTCATGGAAAAATATACAGTGTGACTCCATTTACATAAGATTCAGAAAGAGGCAAAACTAAGCAATAAAAAAATTATAAAAACAAAGGAGAATGATGAAAATTTAGGACAGTGGTTACCTCGGGGGGAGAGAAGTGCACGTGATCAAGAGGAGAGAGCGTGTCTAACAGAGATGTGAGTAACGTTCTACTCTTAGAGCAAGGTGGTGAGTACACGGGTATTTTATTACTCCTCCTTACACTGTACACATACTTTCCAAACTGGAGAAAATGAGGCACGAAAATGGTGACTGTATAGACAACTCTTTGAAAAGCACTGATCTTGAGTATAAAGGAATAAAAGAGTAGTAGATGGGAAGAAATGTGAATGTTTTCAGAGATTTTGTTTTGCTCTTGTTTAAGACATGCAGAGAGAGCATCTGAATGACAGAAAGGTTCCAGCAGAGGGGAGAGGCTGAAGCAACAGCACACGTGAAGGTTTGTTTGCCTGTGAAAGGAGGAGCAGCACAACTCATTCAGGCAGAGGGCAACAGGGAAAGCTACGAATAATGGGCACAGATTTACACAGTTGATGAAGGAAACGAGGTTCATCAGATACGGTGGCTCGCTCCTCCTCAATGAGGCTGAAAGGGGAAAGGCAGAGCTGGCTTTGAGAGGAAATTAGGGTATCAAGTGACAGTTTGGGGCAGTGAGACGTAACAACTGACCACAGATAAATGCAGGTGCTCCCTTGGGCTTTTCACCTTCTATGTTTCCCTGGCCTCTGTCTAGAATATGTTTTCACTTTCTTTTCACCTAGAAAATCTCTCCATCCTTCAAGGCTTCACCTCAGGTTCTACGTCCTTTGTGAAACCTGTTCTATTCCACGGCAATCTTTTCCTTCCCCTTTTAATCCTTACAGCACTTAACTATCATCGCTTTTTACTTACTCATAAACTATCTTACAGTAACTCTTTCGTGTTATACATGGCTTCATTTTTTTCTGTGTGGTCTCCCTAGCTACAGTTCTTGAGACAGAAATAACTTTTTTTTTTGGCACTGTGCTCCCCCTCTCAGAAATATAGTGCAGTCTCATACAGTAAACATTTAGCTGTTCATTGTTCCATTTTTAAAATACATCATCTACTTAAACAGAGACTCTTTTTTTTTTTTTTTTTTTTTTTTAAGATTTTTTTTTTTTTTTTTACAGAGAGAGATCACAAGTAGGCAGAGAGGCAGGCAGAGAGAGAGATAGAGGAGGAAGCAGGTTCTCCGCTGAGCAGAGAGCCCGATGCGGGACTCGATCCCAGGACCCTGAGATCATGACCTGAGCCGAAGGCAGAGGCTTAACCCACTGAGCCACCCAGGTGCCCCTAAACAGAGACTCTTAAAAGCAAAAGAAAAAAAAAAAAAAGAAGACATGAATAACTGAACTTTGAATCCTCCATGATTTTTTTGTCCCTGCTTCTGGTTTTCAATTTTTGGTTTTAGAATTTACTTTGTAGAAGCCAAGCTACATCCAACGTTAACACAAAATCAGTTTGATTTTTAGTATTTTTTAAACCAATTGTTTCTACTCATTAAACCATTAAAATTTTTTCTTTACAACTTTTAATATGTTTCTTCATGGAGGTAGTTCCTCCATGAACTAGAAAATGAAGCAGAGTATTATCAGCAAAGACAAATTATGTTAGGAATGCCATCTTGTGGTTGAGAGTAGTCCATTACATTACAAATCCTCTGAATAACAATCTTTAATTCAGAAATAAAATATCCAGTAAATTCACAAAGGTAAATCATGGTTAAAATTATTATTACTACAAGGAAAGAAAAGCTAGCTAGATATGTGTGCTTTCAATTTTGTGTGACTTCAGTTGCCAAAAAAGACAATGTTCATCGAAGAGAGAGACCACAGACAAATTACATTGGAATGGACTCCAAATAATATAGAAAAACTGCTACCTATACTATAAATATACTTCTATTAAGACTATTGAAGTACTCTGAATTTTGGAAAACTTTTCTCATGAAATAGATAATTTTACTTCTATATCTACCACTAAGTTATGTAGATGATTATATCCTAGATTTAAATTATGTGTCTTGATTTTCAAAATACATCACCGAAAGCACAACCATCCAAAAGGGATGGAGGAAAGGACAGAGCACTTATCTAATTTGGATGGCGCAGGACGCATATAATTAGTTGTAGTCCACAATGGGACTTGGAAGAGAGGTAAAAACACTGGCCCTGTATTAACAGATGAACTTACTTCTTCTTCCATACAAGATAGCCATTTGAATGATAAATCATCTTTCTAGTCAATAGAAAACCAGTAATGGTTACAGATGTATTACTTAACAACTATGCTCAAATATTCTAATTGCCAAGTTGAATACCAGACATTCTGATCCACTTCAAAGTAGGGATGAGGACGTGAAAACTGATGAATCCCTCATGAGGGCAAAACACAGCCCAGCACAAAGATCCATGCACTGTGCTACCGTTTTGACCTCCAGATTATAAGGTTCCAAGGAGCATGTGCAGGTACAATGTTCAGTTACAGAGATCAGGTTACTTGAAATTCCAAAAGATAATGGATCTACATGTAGATATATTTACGGAAAAATGAAAATGCTATTGTACTGCAGATCAGTGTCTGGGATTTATTTTTGCATGCCTATCACCAGGAAAAAAAAAAAAAAAACATTTTACTCAAAACATTGTTATACGAATTGATTTTGTATCAGTTTTTCCACCTGATTCTTCAGGACATTCACATCCGCTGCACAGACCTGGTACTCCATCTTCTTTTGCTGTTTCATTCTCTCTAATAAGGCTTCATGCGGCGGAGGCAACGCATTGTAGGAACTCAGTAAATAAAGCTGACTTGATGAAGCCTGGTTGATTTCTTTAATCTTTAAAGCCTGCATGATAGCAGGTGCAAACTTCGAGTAATGAGCCGTCGATGAGACAATCACTGGGCAAGTTTTGTCCTGCGTTCTGTCTGCAACCACTTTTGCAACAGCAGTATGTGGGTCCAGAATATACCCTGAAGTGTTGTAAGTGGAACGGATGGCTGCCAGACACTCTCCCTCGGAGCACCAGTCAGCGACAAAATCCTGCTGCAGTCTCTCCACCAGCATCTTCTCTATCTGGAAGTGATGCTGCTCTTCGAGCTGATTAAATAATTTTGTCATTAACTCGCCATCTTTATCAGCCATCAAGTGCAAATGTCGTTCCAGGTTTGAAGCTTTAAGAATATCGATTGCTGGTGAAAAGGTTTGTGTTAATTTTCTTTCCCTTAGGTCGTAGTGTCCTGTTTTTATAAAATCGGTCAAAACGTGGTTCTGATTAGAGGCACAAATAAATTTGCGAATAGGGATTCCCATCATTTTGGCATACACTGCTGCTAAAATGTTACCGAAGTTTCCTGTGGGAATACAGACATCGATCGGGCTTCCAAAGGAAATAAATCCTTGGCTAACAAGATCAAGATATGCAGAAGCATGATAAACTACTTGGGGAAGCAGTCGGCCCCAGTTTATGGAATTAGCTGAACTTAAGACTGTTCCATATTCCATAATAAGAAAGCCAGTAAAATCAGAATCTCTAAAAATTCCTTTGACGGCTGTCTGGCAAAAATCGAAATTGGACTTGACACCCACTGCCCATCCATTTTCTTTCTGACTGCCAATTATTTGTGCTTTCTGAAAGTCACTTACACCGTTCTCAGGAAAAAATGTGGCCACAGCTATTCTTCGCTTATCATTCTTACTAATACGGCTAAAACCGTTTAAGACCGCACTCCCGGTGTCTCCGGAAGTAGCTACAAGGATCATATAGTTGCAACTTGGTGGAATACAGTGTGCAAAAAGATGAGGCATGAGCTGCAAAGACAAATCTTTAAATGACCCTGTGGGTCCGTGAAACAACTCCAGGATGAACTGGTTGCCTGAGAGGTGTCTGACGGGGGCAATTTTTGAGCAGGCAAAGTTTTCCCCATAAGCAGCCTCGATCATTTCTCCCAGTCTGGCAGCAGGTACGTCAGCAGGGTGGATACACTTTTCCAGCAGGATCTGGGCCCTTTCTATGTAGGTGGCTCCTACAAGGCTTTTCCACTCCCCGCAGTTTAATTTCGGAAACTCTTTCTCAGGGACGAAGAGTCCACCATCAGAGGCTAACCCCTCGATCACTGCTTCGCTGAAGAATTTTGTTGAAACCTTCCGTTCATCGTCTTTGGGCCAAATGTGTCTCGTGGAAATGAACGTTTCTGAGTCCACATCTTGGTATCGTTTGACTGCACTGAGCACTTTATCGGCGACCTCCTCTGGGGAAGCCCCACTTTCACAGAAAACCCGGGTATCGTACCACTTCTTATAATACTGTCTTCTAAACTTCAGTAAGTCTTTCATAGGTGTTCCAGCATCCTGACCTACAATCCTGTCGATTTTCATTAATTTTAAGCGGCTGACTATATCTATCAGAGGTACATCCAGGTATACAATTATCCCATTTTTCTTCAGATGCCACATGCTAGCATCGTGCATTGGATTGGACCCCGTAAGGGAAATCACACTTCCAGATGTAGAAAAGTTTAACACGGCTTTTCCTTCCTCTTCTAAAAATTGCTCGTTACCAACATCCTGTAATTTTTCAGACACACTCATATTCCAGGTTTTTTCAAGGATATCATCATCCACATCTATGACACAACAACCTAGTTTCTGACCTATTATTCTGCCTACTGTTGTTTTCCCAGCACCAGGCGGTCCCATCAGGATAATATTTTTGTCTCCAACAAGAGAGTGGGTTGAGTGCCACGACTTTCTGAATTCTGCAAGTGCAAAGGTTCTTGAAAGAAACAGCTGCACATGTTTATCCGTTCTAACATGTATACTAGAAAAACATTTCTGGGCTATTTGTTTCAGATGCGGACATCGGTTAAAGTGCAGCATTCTCTTCACTTTTCTGCCCAAGTTAACCTAAAAACTGGCTTTAGCCCTTTTCAAAACATAAAAACAAAAAAGACATTTGGTTACTAATTTCAACAAACTTAAAATCCCAAATAGGACTAAAAATAACCACGTCCATGGTACATAAACTGTTCAGAAATCTTTCATATGTATGGGATATTTTTTAAAGTATTCAAACCCAAATTCTCATGTTACATATTATCCTTTTAATAATCTTTTCAACATCAAGCCCGAATAATCAAAACATTAAAAAATTGCAACTACAAGGCATGCTTTATTCAGAAAATGCCATATCATAGATGCTTTTTTTTTTTTAAAAAACCATACAAATCAGATTAGTATTTCTTTTCTCATAATGAAAATTGTTTCTTGGTTTATAACCCATATAAACAAGGATTATTTGGAATGCTATTTACTTACAATTCATAAAAGCTGAACAATATTCTTTATATTTAATTTCTAACTTTAGTTTTACTAACATGCTGACAGACTATCATGCTACTCAGAAATTTCTCATAAAATTCACAATAGGAAAGTAGAATATTTGCTTACAAGATGCTTAAATAACTTTCCAAACTATAGGGCAAAGGCATGGCATTTTCTTTCTCATGTGCCTTTTATAAGCATACTGTAAGGGATCATCCTTTTCATATTGAAGGCCTTTTTAAAAAAATCTAAAATGAAAGGTATAATATTATGCAAATAGTTAAGAAAATTGATAACAGCAAAGTCAAAGGCTACATGTCTCTAACCTTATCTGCATGAAACTGTCACTTTTGTTTCTGTCCTCTAAACATTATCAGTGGAGACATGTAATGCAAATGCCAAACTCTACAGTGACAGCAATTAAAAAAAAAAAACAAAACCAACTCCGGAAGGTTTCCAATGATGAGAGGAAATAATTATTGTGACTTCCAAAGAATCTCTGCAATTCCCCCATATTGCTCAAATACCTGTCTTTGGAAATGTACTCACCATTAAAACACAAACCTATGCCAGGCAAGTCAAGGTCTTCGTCATACATAAAATGCAATTTAGTAACTGCTGCAATGTTCATTAAAATTGACGAAAGGAACTCCACAGACATGTAGTGGAGCTTTTCACATGTTCTGCAACTAAGCCATGTTAAATATCAGATGGTATGCTCAAACACATTCTGAAAACTTTCACTGACTACTCTATCTGTGCTACTGTGTTCTATAATTAAACATTTAAACCATTTTAAAACTAACACTGAATTTAACTTACAAGTTAGATTAGAACTGTCAAGAGAAGGAGTACATTTCCTTATCTGGCTTTTCAGCTTGAATGTGCTGTGCTTAATTCCCACTGACTTGTAAACCATATGACACACAGGAACCAATCTGATGAAGAGTTTGTTGATGCTGAGGCAAAGTCAATCTTTGCAAAAAATGGAGTCTATAATAGAAAAATTTTCAAATTAATCATTACCGCATACAATGTTACAAAATTCCACACATAGACTGTTGTATTATTAAAATATCCACCTGAAAAATTTAAAGTCTAGAGAAAGAATGAATTGACCCTTTTCATGTTTCCCCAAATCTATTATTAAAAGATTTAAGATATACTGTTTTTTTTAACATCTGTGTCTTATAATGGAAAAGAAATTTCATCAAACAGTATTGAAGGAGTTTCTTCCACCAAGCAATATGAAAGACAGTAATATAACCAAATAAGAGCAAATATAAAATCTCTCACAATGACACCTGAAATTTTAATTACTTAACTGGATGTTTAGTGATGAGAGAAAAATTTAAATCAGTGGACTAAAGCTATGAAATGGGTGAATTACTCTTGTAGGTTTTTTTGTTTTTTGTTTTTAAAGATTTTATTTATTTGACAGAGAGAGATCACAAGTAGGCAGAGAGGCAGGCAGAGAGAGAGGGGGAAGCAGGTTCCCTGATGAGCAGAGAGCCTGATGCGGGGCTTGATCCCAGGACCCTGAGATCATGAACTGAGCCAAAGACAGAGGCTTAACCCACTGGGCTGCCCAGGTGCCCCTCTTGTAGGTTGTTTTATCTATCTGAGTCACTACATGATTTGTATGTAATAATATTTACCATAAAAAAGCACAAAGTGTCTGCTACACACAAGTATCCCTTGTCTATTTAATTGAGTTTATAATAAATCCAAAACACCTATCAAAGTGGTTGGCACATAAGAGTATTCTCATATATAGTCATATTATTATCACTCAATGACAATGGACCAAAAACATATAAATTGAATCAGAATATCTAGACTCAAGGCTAGGTGTATTTTTTCATGATTTGGTTAGTTTATAAGCCTTCAGAAAAATATGGGTACTTACCATGAACAAGAACTGTTTTGCTATATACAGTCTAATTCCTTCCCTGCCATAAACCAAGGATCAGAGAAGTATACACTTGAACCATATCAGTAATGTCTTTTATTAAACTGTATTCTAGTATAGTACTTTAATACCAGCTAGTTTTCTTGGAGGAAGGGGAACACTATAAAAACCACCTGATTCACGTGCTATTCAGGAGTGTGTGCTCTTTTTTAGTTCCCAGTGCATACCTTTCTACTGTCTGTAGTAGCAATAATTGTAGTATTACCTGAATAGCTGGTTGGTTTTTCTGGACATTGAATTTTTTAACTGATCTTTTTCACTTTGTGTTGGTTGCTACAATGTTTACCATCAATTCCATTAAAAGCGGAAGACTGTAACACAAACATTACGCATTGTTTGCATTATCTTTTATAATCTTAGTTTTCCTTTATTTTATATGAGTTAAAAATAGAAAATTATGACAGTTTAATTTAATTTAGTATATCATTTTACAAAATCTTCCTGAATTCAGTTGTTAAAGGGCTATAATATGTAACAAATATTGCCATTTTTTGAGACAAATAAAGAAGATGAATTCTACTTTAAGTAACATACTAAATTTTGTTTCATAACATTTTAGCCACGAATTAATTTTAAGGCTTCAACATCCACTGTAAGCAAACCAAAAGACAAGATGGAATAATATCTGCAGTATGTAACTTTCATCTAGAAACTAAGTCTTTACTTAGGAGGTAATACACTCAATTCCCATTATTCATGGTATTATGTTCTTTTTTTTTAAATTTTTTTTAAAAGATTTTACTTATTTATTTGTCAGAGAGACAGAGAGAGTACAGGCAGGCAGAATGGCCGGCAGAGGAAGAGGCAGGCTCCCTGTGGAGCAAGGAGCCCGATGTGGGACTTGATGTGGTCCCGATGTGGACCCTGGGATCATGACCTGAGCAGAAGGCAGCCGCTTAACTGACTGAGCCACCCAGGCGTCCCTCACGGTGTTATGTTCTATAAAGTCATCATGAATACTGAATTAGTGAAGAGTGAATATTCCCATTACTCCTAGGGGAAATACAGGGTTAGGTTTCTGTGAGCCTCAGGTCACATTTTTTGCCAACTGATCAATACATAGGCCTGTTTTATGTGTTTCTCTTTAAAGTCATTTTATATTTTTTGTATTATATTAGTAATTAACTCACCACTGAACAGCCAAGAACACTCTAACTTATGCCTGAATGAAGCTTATCTAACACAGATTCTATCTGTAAGGCATATTATAGCCTTATTACCTTAGGAACACTAGGCAGCACCTAGTCAGCAACCTGGGGGCCATTTTGAACAACAAAGCCACCAACCAGAGGCACAAAAATGTGAGAAGTGTGGCACTAACTCGAATGGGAGAAGGACACTTGTTTACAGTATCTGAGCTGAAACAGCAAGGCAGAGCACCATCCTGCTTGACCACATTTTAGAGCACACACATCAGGAGACTCCTATTTTTTACCACCGTGCGTGTGTCCATGAATGAATGCACAAGTTCTGCAAGTATTAATTTGGGCTTATAAATAAAGTTTAGTGAGTAGAATTCACAAATATGGAACCTCTGAAAAGTGAGCATCAACTGCATACCATTTTCCTTTACGATTCAAAGCCATGTTATTAAGCTTTTTCATTTACTTATATTTTAGTTTATGTATTTTAGTCTACTGGTCATGAATAAGCAATTTTTCTTCAGCCAAAGGACAAAGCTTTTTCAAATTAAATGGAAGTCAACCACAGAAGTCAGAAAACAAAAACAGTACTTAAAGACCAAATGTCTTGGCCATAAAGTACTCAGGTTTTACTGTATCGATGTTCTCAAGTATTTTTTGCAGAGTCAAGTTCTTCATGAAAACATTTTAGTCATACTCTCTAACTCCTTAGAGGTTGGAAGATCTGCACAACTCCATTATACACTAATGCTTTTTAAATAGGTTTTCCTACTGATCACTTATAGTGGGGTTTTTGATTCACTAACTCCAATGGATACTTTTTGACATAATAGACACGTGTCTTTCTAACAGATAAATGAAGAGGCTGTCAGTTTCACAGCAAAAATCTTAAAAAACAAAACCAGAATGTCCACATGTACAAAAGAATTCAAGTACTCTTTGGTCTCATGGTATAAAATTTAACAATTTTACTTCGGGAAGCTGATCAAAACTGAATAATGAATTCAAGAAAAAAAAGTACAGAAATCACTTTTTAAGTCACTTTTAAATTATTTCCTATGACTGCTAATAAACTTACATTTTTAAACCAGAAATTCCTATTAATTTTCAGCAACTTATTTACAGTGATGTTTTAAGGACACCACTAGATGATTGCTAATCAACTAAAGTCATACCTGTTATCAATGTTTACTTCCAAAATGGTCCAGAAGAATTCCATTATAAAATTACCTAGTTTCCAATTCCTCTGGGAAATTATCCAAATCCTATTTAGTCGGGATGATTTAGCATGTCACCCATTTAAAATATTTGCAACATACTATTTAAAAATTATTTCATGATGAGAACTGACTGTGGTTCACTGAACTTCTGAAAATATTTATGCCATGATTATGCTTGTCACCCTATATTAATGCAATCTAAATTTCTCAGAACAATGACTAAATCTAGTCCATTATCTTATGAAGATTTGCTGATATATTTTTAAAAATTCTTAAAAATGACTGTATTTTGACAGCGATATATTGTTTTCCAATACATAATAAAAAATGCAAATTTCCTAGGACATAAACTAACCAGGGGGAGGTAAAGTTCTGCTGCTCTGGACTATTAAGCAAAAATCTTCTCAACACTCCTTTTGGTCAGTCAGCTATGTGGAGAGGAACCACACACTCCAGTGTTCTGTTGTAATCAGAGGGATCTTACAATCAAAGGTAGAATTTACAAGTTTATCACTCATCTTTGCCCCTATCTTAGTATCAAAGCTGATTAAGTCTTTCTTGTTGCTCACCTTTTGCTATTAGAGATCCTCCTAATGGTCTTGAGTATTTAATTCAAAAAACTTTTTAAGTACCCTTTTTAATTCTCTAACTTAAAAATACATTATAAAGAATAACTCTTATTCAGGGTTAGTTTTCCTCCTAGTTGTCTTTTTACTATTCCTACCTAATCTCATTTTATTCATCTAAGTAAATTAGAATTAATCTCAAGCAAAAAACTCTAACTTGTACGTACAACCATTTATAGCAGGGGTCTGTGCAAACCCACAGGCCAAATCTGTGCAAAATTATAACCACCCTTTTTGTAAATTAAGTTTCATGAGAACAAAACTTTGCTTATTTATTTGTTCATCTGTTTTGTATTGTCTTTGGCTGCTCTTGAGCCACAACAGTAGAGCTGAGCAGTTTTGACCAAAACCATTTGACCTGCAAAGGCCTAAAATATTTATTACCAAGCCCTTTACAGAAAAAGTTCATGATCTCTGTCAGTATACCAATACTAATTCCCTGTGGGCATACTGGACATAGACATTTCCTTGAACAGTACTGCCATTTTTAGGGAATTATAAAAATTAGAAATATATTTTTGTAAACATGCTTTCAAAAGGCAAGCAGAATTATACATCAAGTATCTAAGGAAAAAAGTTCGTTTCTAAATAGTTTAACAACTTCATCATGACTGGAAACTAAATATACCATAGGGAGGAGATCATAAATTGGTATTTTTAAAACCATAATAAATATACTGACAACAGTGAAATTACTGTATTCAGTAACACCAGAAAGTCAAGACTAGCTGAGGTTGGTTGGGACTTACTAATTGGAGAAATCATGCTTTACCCTTACTGGCTCTTTTAGGAACTGATTAATATGAAACGTCCCAAAATGTTTATTCTTCATGAGAAAATGTATAAGCTTTGGCCAATGACCACCCACTAGGTAAATGGTATTATCATTATGAGTCCTTAGTTCAAATCTTAGCATGTATAAAGAGAATTCTTCTCTATACATGTTAAGCAAAAACAAAATACCTCCCCAAAACATAAACTAGTCAAAAGGGAAAGGAAAACGACAAAGTGGTATATACATAAAAAAAAATGTTTTGAAAAGTAAGATCTGATGTGAAGACCAGAACATCATCTCCAACGTGCCACTCATCTGAAATAAAATGCTCAAAGTCTGGGATAAAAATAAAAATCTTATCAACTGGGTAAGAAAAAAACTAAATTTATTCTTATTTAATGACATTGGCTAAGAGCCCCACATGGTAAGGATCCTCACATTCTGCACAGCCTTTTAAGTAGAAGCTAAAAGGTTAATGAAGCCATCCTACTGTTTTTCTCTCTCCACGGAGCACCAAAGCTGGTGTTGGTTTTTATCTTAAACTACCTCTATTTCCTTTGGGCAGTGGCCTCTGTAAGGCTCGTTTAGGCCAATTCCTCTTTCCCAACTATTGCCAAAATGTCTTTTAGAGACTCGGGATGGGGCAAAGGCTTCCGTATGAATTTCTTTCGGCGGCCATACGTGCATAAATAGGTACATGGGAAGAGCAGACGGTTCAAAACGAACAAAACCGCTTCCGAGAAGGCAATTTTCAGAAAGGGACACCATAAAAATGGACCAAAATTCAGGGGTCCATTTAAGAGGTTTCTCCTAGTTTCGGCTGCTTATTTAAAAAGCCTCAAGGCCACACGTCTGTGGATAAAGAGCTAAGAGGAGGGGCCCGACCACGAGGAACACAGGGCTGAGAGCGGAGAACCCGGGCGAGGGGAGGAGGGCGACGGGAGGACCGCAGCGCGACAGGTGGACGGGGCGAACCGGACTGACGGCGGGGGCGTGCGTGGGCGCGCACTCCCACAGGTGGCGAGCGGGGCCGCGCAGCGAGCTCCGGACAGCTTGGGGCAGAAGCAGCGGGGAAATGAGCGCAGACACGGTTGAGATGACAACCGAGCAGCGGGCGGGCAGGAACAAGGTGGGGGAAAGGCATGCAATGGGAACGGACCGTTTTCTACAGTTTACCCGTTCTTTCTCCTCAAATCACTCACCAAGAAAATCACACTGGGAAGACGGGGTAAAGGAAAGAAAATGGGGAGGAACGTCCAGGAGCCGCCAGTGCCGCCTCAGGACCGAGGACCACACCTCAGGGGCTCACCCACAGCCCAGGGCCAAAGAATTCCCTAGGCCTGACCCGCCCCCAACCCCGCGCCCCGGCCACTGCGCCTGCGTCAGTGAAGGCCTGCGCGCCAGCCGCCACACCCACGCGCCGAGCAACCCCACACCGGGCACGTGACTCTCGGTCCCCGCTCCACCTACCAGAATCCTCCGTGCTCCTCAGGCTCCTCCTCACCCGGTCCAACTCTCCACAGAGTCCTAGCGTCAGGGAGGCCTCAGCGGCTCGCCCCGCCTCCCCCGGGATTGACGCTTGCGCACAAGAGCCTTATTGTGTGACGCGTGCGTCCCAGCCGCACTTCACTTCCGTTATGTCTCTCTTGGGGCATATGTTTCTCTCCAAATATGCAGAGATAGAAACGTGCGATGTTTTTAGGAGGATGCCATTCAACTCATTATTCCCAAGGGCACAAATAAACAGTGGTTTCCATATTGAACTCCAGCAGAAAACTGCAGGGGGAAGAGAGGAAACGTAGTTCACCGTGCTGCCTTCCACTTCCCCGTAGCCTAGCAACTGTTTCCAAGGCAACCACGCCGTCAACAACGCTAAGCAACCCTGCGAGAATTAGAAGGACTATTTTATTTTCTTCTGGAGAGAGAGCTGCTAAGAAGAGGTCAAAGGGGAATTAGGTGAAAGAGAGAAACCTTAGTTCTGTGAGAAGACAAAAGTAGGAAAGGAAAGGGGTAACAGTGAAGAAAGAGAGAGATATTGGTATAGTGAGAAAAAAATATTTTTAAGCAGTCATTTTGGTGGCCATGGATACAACTTGCTTTTCTGAAAGCATTTATAACCTCATACCCATTGACTGGAAGGAGCCTCCCCAGCCTCCTAGGTATGTGGATAAGCAACGATGATCACTTGCAACAAGAATAGGGAATAATTATGCAATTTCAGGATTAACTGAGCATCATATGATGTTGAAAAATAACATAAATGTCTGTCTCAGTGAAGTAGTCTAGATATCAGCTTCATAAGGAAGTGGCTGCAAAATCTAGGTATTTCACATCTCACAATTCACAGAGAGGGCCATTTTAGTTTGCTGGACACCTATTAATACAATATGTAATTGTTTTGTAATTTTCTAATTGTTCGTACATGATGTAGTATATAAAATGACGTAAAATTTCTTGTTGCTGTTGAAAAGAAAAAATCATTTATATTATCCTCTGCTAGGATACTTGTTACTTGGTTTCAGGAGTTCGTTGTTTTATTTCTCTCTACACTACCACTTCCTCTCTAAAGGGATAGTAGTTACTTGTTTCTGAGATTATTGTCAAATATAAATTCTTATTTGTTTCTGAAGCTCAGTTTTTTTATTGGTAAAACAAAACAGAAAAGCTTTTAAGGTCTTTTCCAGATCTGATAGCTGGATAGAAGGAAGAGTAGATGGGTGGAGGCCCCAAAATATGTAATTGAGTTAAAATTTTTACCTAGGTATTAGGACCCCCCAATTTCCCCATTATTTCAAAAAGTTAACCCCAAAGTAAATATCTCAGTTACTCTCCTGTGTCGGGGTTTAGAACTGATGTAAATCTATGGGGAGGAAAGAAGGTAACTAGTGCAAAAAATCTTATTCCTCCTAGTACTTGAAATATTTGCTGTTTTTTTACCTTCTTTTGCTGATGCAAGTCAAAACCACATTGAAAGAGCACTCGGCTAAAAAGCATGCTCTGAAACCCATTGGTTTGGGAATAATGAATAAATTTTCATTTGTTTTCTTTTCTTTTTTAAAAAATATTTTATTTATTTATTTAACAGAGCGAGAGAGAGGCACAAGTAGGCAGAGAGGAGATCACAAGCAGGCAGAGAGGCAGGCAGAGAGAGGGGGAAACAGGCTCCCCACTAAGCAGAGAGCCCGATGCAGGACTCAATCCCAGGACCCTGGAATCATGACCCAAGCTGAAGGCAGAGGTTTAACCCACTGAGCCACCCAGGCGCCCCTTGTTTTCTGACATGTAAATGAACTAAATGATCCACATAATCTCTAAGTTTCCTTTGAGTAATTACTTGGGGTGCATAACATCATCAAGTGGGCAAATCCTTCCATTTCAAGCCCGAGTATCTAGTTTTAACAAGAGTAGTACCTGTATTATTTTCCATTAGCTTCTCAAAATTGAACTGAGCATGGAAAGAGGAATGTAAAGTAAAATGTGATGGAGTTGCAGAGTTTATGAGGAGGATCCAAATTAACTATTGCTGAATGAATTTTTGGTCAAAAATTCCTGTATGTTGTACTAGATATATCTCCTCCTTTCTGTAACCACTGGTAGGTTGCATTTTCTATAGAGTACTGAATTTGAACGTTAAGATATTTTATTAGATATGTGTTTTGTTCACTGGTAAATTAAAAAGATGTGCCTTTACTATATCTAAGTAATTTTTTCAAGAAATTTCATAGGAACAATCTTTATTCATTTGGCAAGCAATAACTGAGACCCTGTTGTGTGTATAACATTGCCCTTGGAGAATGTCTTGGGAAATGTTGGAAGTGACAGCACAAACTCCATGGTTGACTCTGAAGGAATAAGTAGGAAAAAGGAACTCAGATGAAGGGAATAGAAGGCATCCAAATGTGGTGCCAAAGAACTCTCTCTGTTAGAGTGAGACTATCCAGAACAACCTACACTACAACGACCCTGAAAAGGTTTTAATTTGATAATTAGACCACCAATAAATAAAACAACCAATATATAAACTACCAATATATAAAAACAGAACATAACACATTTAACACCTTCCTCTCACCACACTATTTGCCCTGACCCAATCCCCTTACTAATAGTAAGAATTAATCATAAAAAGAAATGTATTAACTTACAAGACTTATTTGCTTTACTGAGTTACAAATTCAGCTTCAAAAAAAGCTCACTGCAGCTCTTTGCAAGATTAGCAAGATTACTGTCCAGCTTTCACAAAGAGGTGCATCCCTCAAAAACTGCCTGCATTGTGATCTCCCATACCTCAGACGTTACAGCCTCCTTGGGACACTACAGTATAAACATTAACATTTGGATTAACAATAAAATCATATATTATTGGAAACCCTAATGAGAGATGCAGATAACTAAATGAGAATTTAGGAAATGGATATATGTAATGAAAATGGGGTGAAGGGCATCCTCTTTTAGTTGAGCTTAATGAGCTGGGACTCAAGATATAACAATGTTAAAGTCAATGGGAAGCCATGAATCCATTTAAAAAATTTCAGTTGCTCACGATGCATGAGATGGTTTCCAAGATACTCACCAAATTTGTCACCCTTCTATTGATGGCTCCAGTTATTTGATGTCTCCAGTTATTTGATGTCTCCAATCATTCTGTCTTTCCCTTTTATTTAAGATAATATTCCATGTATGTACTGGACATCCCATGGTACCATTATCTCTTCCCTTGCAGCACAATACTTTTATTAATACACTCATTAACATTTTGACATTCATTTCCCTACCATTGCCTCACATTGAAATTTCCACATGAATTATGACTAAGGTCAGTCTCTATCATACTATAATTAATGTAACTGATTGTTTTTGATCTAAACTCATTGTTCTCTATGGACACAGTTTTGAACTTTGAGTCTTTCGTATATTCTCTCAACCATCCTTCCCAGCTCTGTGACATTTGCAAATCTAGTAAGTATGTCTTTTATATCTCCATCTGCCATTGAACAGGACAAGTACTTGGCACTTTAGTAGACTACAAGACCCCTCTTTTTAGGCTGATAGCAATACTCGTTTTGAGGATATAATCAGTCATCCATATGCATCCATTAATCAATTCCTATGTCTCTACCTTATCAGTAAGGATAAGAGGCTTTGCTAACATAAAGATGTATATTATGTCTAAGGTACTTGACTGATTTATGAGTCACATAATCTTTTTTAAAAATGATGTTCATTTCAGTGACCTGAAACTCCATATTGCTCATTTAGTCATTGCTTCTCTACAGATTTTTAGATGCTTTCCAAAATTGACTTCAGACTCACCATTGATGCACGGTTTTTAAAAAATAGGAATATTTAATGTGTAAGCACCCACTAGCTGGCTGTTTTTTTAAGGCTTTCTGGTTTTCATTGATGTTAACTGTGACCTGTAGTTAGAATTTCATTTTCAGAGCTCCTCATTCTCTTTGGACTATCCTTCATTTTATTCAATTTCCATACTGTTAAATCTACATCTTCTGAGGCTTTGCAACATCTCTTTGTTTAAAGTCTAGTTATGTATCTAACTTTGCTAAGCAATCTTGACTATTATGAAATCTTAGATGACAGAGTCATTTTCTCCTGAGATTCTTTTTTTTTTTTAAAGATTTTATTTATTTATTTGACAGAGAGAGATCACAAGTAGATGGAGAGGCAGGCAGAGAGAGAGAGAGAGAGAGAGGGAAGCAGGCTCCCCGCTGAGCAGAGAGCCCGAAGCGGGACTCGATCCCAGGACCCTGAGATCATGACCTGAGCCGAAGGCAGCGGCTTAACCCACTGAGCCACCCAGGCGCCCCTTTCTCCTGAGATTCTTATCTACTTTGCTGACAATTTGTAGCCAATAATTCAATTGGGGAAAGCAGTAGTCCTTTAAAATGAACTTATATTCAAAGAATGTCAAAAATATTCCAAAGTCTTTGCTTTTATTTTTTAAAAAGATTTTATTTATTTATTTGACAGAGAGAGAGATCACAAGTAGGCAGAGAGGCAGGCAGAGAGAGAGAGAGAGGAAAGCAGGCTCCTGCTGGTAGAGAGGTCTGACGCGGGGCTCAATCTCAGGAACCTGAGACCATGACCTGAGCCGAAGACAGAGGCTCAACCCACTGAGCTACCCAGGCACCTCTAAAGTCTTTGCTTTTAGTATAATGAAGTTTATGTTAAAATACCCATTGTTCCAATATATGGTCTCAGAGTTTTATAACTAGTGTTAGAAATTGTTATTCAGATTTTTAATTTGGCTGCCCAGTCTTTACATACTTCCATAATAATAACACTTCTTTTCATCTCTTGTAAAGAAAAGAAACTTTACATGTCCTAATATAGAAAGAGATCACATTAAGTTTTAAAAATCAAGTTATATTTCATACACAAATAGAAATATAGAAAACTCAATTTATTTGGAAAATGGATTGAGGAGATAGAGGAAACATATATTATATTAGTTTCCATCTTTTTTTCTATTTTTGTAATTTGGAAAAGTAAAAAATTACTCAAATAGCATAAAGTGTATTGTTTTGTGTAACAAACAGGCAAGATTTCAGCTCACAAAATAATGTATTGAATCACAAGATTGAAAATTAAAAAGAGCTGAGAGTATACACACTCTTTTCTTACCACAAGGAAAGTAATTTTACTAATTAAGAGGTAATATCTGCCAGTTCCAACTTGCATATGAAATTTAAGGCACAAGTTTGGATTGAACATTATTTTCTGAAGGTATCTAATAAACTCATTCAGTTTAGACCATAATTAATCCCTAGCCATTGAACTCAAGATTGAGGAAAGGCCTTTAAAAGCAAGAAACAATTCAGTTTCTTCAAACAAATTTATCAACATTAAGTAAGAAGAGAATAAGTTGTTAAAAGTGGTGTAGCTGAACTTCTGCTTCCAATCAAATGTGGAATTTACCCTCTCACCTTAAACAACTAAAACACTAGTGGGGGAAAAGTGTAAAACAATAGTTTTCAGACAATGGACAATAGGCAGCACAGAGCAGTCATCCCTAAGAGAAGAGAAACAAGCCTCACAATTGCCCAACAATCTTCTTAGAGAGTTTCCAGGCCGAAGTCCAGGGAAGATGAATTTAAACAAAATCCAGCAGTTCCTTGAGTTAAAGGAGACAGAGTTCAGAGTCTGGGGAGGTCAAGGCATGTAGAATTCACAGCACTGAGAACAAGGTACCAGAGAGGAAAGAACTGAAGAGAGAGAAAGAGAGTGTGTGCTATAGAAATATGCAAGAAGATTTTTCTGAAGTCTTTGGTTGGCAGTACATGTATGCAATGAAACTATGGAGGCCAGAGAAATAACCAATGGAAGGTTGGTTATAAATAACCAACGGAGTCAGATAAATTTCGAGTTCCCACCAGCCAAAGTGGAAACACCTCCTAAGGCACAGGGCATTGAGTAGTGCACTCAAAAGTATATTGCCTCAGTAGTAGAGCCAAATTAGAACTAGACTCAAAGCTCTTCTGGACCCAGAAATATAATGCATAACCAAAAGAAAATTAGTCAATACAAACAAAGAAATGGCATTAATGAGAGAATTAGTAGACAAGACCATTAAAGCTATTTTAAATATTCTCCATGTATTCAAAAAGATAGAGGAAAACATGAGCAAGATACGGAGAGAAATGGAAGGATAAAAAAAAGATTAAAAAAAATACCAAAATTGAACTTCTAGACATAAAGGATACCACTTCTAAAATGAAAATTGTCCACTGGATGGGATTAACAATAGTTAAAACACTGAAGAAAATATTATTGAATTTGAAGACAGTAATAGAACAATACAAAATAAAAGAAAAAAACTGAAAAGGAAAACAGTGAATCAGTGAGTTGCAGACAACATCCAACAGCCAAACATAAGTATAATTAGACTTGCAGAAGGAGAGGAGAGAGCTGAGTAAACAGAAAACATATTTGAATAATGGCTAAAATTTGACAAAGTTAATGAAATTTCCAAATCCACAAATCCAAGAATCACAATGAGCCCTAAGCAGAAAGAAGAAAAAAGAAGGAGGAGGAGGAGGTGGAGAAGACCATACCAAGGGATATTACAATCAAATTTCTTAGAACCAGTAATAAAGAGAAAAACCTTAAAAGCAGCCAAAGGAAAAAGAAATATCACATATAGAAAAAGAAAGATAGCAAATATCTCATCAGAAACAATGGAAGACAGAACTTACAAGGTACTTAATGCACATATAAGTATAAATTGGGAATTTGGATTTACACAATGAAATAAAGAACACTGGAAATGGCAAATATATGGTAAACATTAGAAATTATTTTTTCTCGGGGCGCCTGGGTGGCTCAGTGGGTTAAGCCGCTGCCTTCGGCTCAGGTCATGATCTCAAGGTCCTGGGATCGAGCCCCGCATCGGGCTCTCTGCTCAGCAGGGAGCCTGCTTCCTCCTCTCTCTCTGCCTGCCTCTCTGCCTGCTTGTGATCTCTCTCTGTCAAATAAATAAATAAAATCTTAAAAAAAAAAAAGAAATTATTTTTTCTCTTTAAATTTATTTAAAATATAATTAGCTTTTTACAGGGAAAATAATCACAATGAATTATGAGTTTTATAACACATTGAAGTAAAATATAACAGTGGGAGAAAGGTGGGGGGTAAATGCAAATATTCTTTTGTATGGTTCTTATACTGCATGTGACATGGTATAATGTTACATGAGGGTAGGCTATGGTAAGTTAAACATGTATATTGTAAACCTTAGAATGTCCACAAAATAAAATCAAACAAAAGTAAAAAATAAGGCAAAATAAAAAAGAAGAAGAATGAACAAAGGGGTATGTAGAAAACAAATAGCAAGATGGAAAATTTAAACAGAAATGTGTTTTTAAAATTACATCAGACATGAATGGTCTAAACAAATAAAAGAGATTTTTTAGAAAGAATTAAATTTCTGTGTTCTCCATGAAAAAAAAAAAAAACCTTTAAAAATAAAGTCACAAAATAAGTAAAAAGTCAAAGAATGGAAAAACACTGTGTTGCCACAGAGCAAAGGAGTGCTGAAGTGGTTTTATTAATATGAGATAGAGTAGATTTTAGAGTACAGACTTTTAAAGGAGTAAATAAGATGACTTTATAATGATGAAGTGGTCAGTTCAAGAAGATGTAATAATTTTAAATGTTATGAACCTACAAACAGAGCTTCAAAATATATGAAGGAACAATTGATAAAACTAAAAGAAGAACAAATCCACAATTGTAGTCAGAGATTTCAACATCTCTCCATAATTAAAAGAACACTTGAAAACACTACCAGGTTGACCTGATTGATATTTACAGAACATTCCAGCCAGCAACAGCCAATACACTTTCTTTTTGAGGGTATATAGAACATTTACCAAGATAGATCATACTTTGTGCCATAATACAAGGGTCAGAAAATTTAAGAGGATTGAAATTGTACAAAATACATTCTCTAACCATAACAACTTAATTAGAAATCAGAAAGACACCTGGAAAATCCCCAAATATTTGGAAACCAAACAAAACACATCTAAAGAAACTCTTAAGTCAAAGAAGATATCAGAAGAGAATTAAAAAAGTATTTTGAGCTGAATGAAAGGACAGAATAAGCATGTCAAGATTTGTGGGATGCAGCTATCAAGCAGTGCTTGGAGGGAATTCTACAGTTTTAAATACTTCTATTAGAAAACTAGTAAGTTTTGGGGCGCCTGGGTGGCTCAGTGGGTTGGGCCGCTGCCTTCAGCTCAGGTCATGATCTCGGGGTCCTGGGATCGAGTCCCGCGTCGGGCTCTCTGCTCAGCGGGGAGCCTGCTTCCTCCTCTCTCTCTGCCTGCCTCTCTGTCTACTTGTGATCTCTCTCTGTCAAATAAATAAATAAAATCTTTAAAAAAAAAAAAAAAAGAAAACTAGTAAGTTTAAAGTCAAATACCTAAACATGCCCCTTAAGAAACTAAAACAAAAAGGGCAAATTAAATCAGAATAAGGAGAAATAATAAAGATAAGTGTGGAAATTATTGAAATGGAAAACATGTGAACGTTAGAGAAACACAATAACAAGGTCAATGAAATAAATGCCTAGCTAAACTGATCAGCAGAGAGAATGAGGACACAGTTCACCAATATCAGGAGTGGGAGAGGTGACATCACATGTTCACATGTTAACAGCGAAATACTAGAATCTTGACCCTGGCACCTCTCGAAGCTTCCATCAATGGTGTTTGATAGACAGGGCTCAGATTATTACACTTTACATCTGTCTCTGAATGAATATAGACTTATATATATTTAAAAATGTACAACTTAAACTTGAAATCACTTTTACTGGAAATACAAATGTTACAACTTTTCTCTCTCTTTTTTTAACTTTAGGTACATATCCATTTTTAAGACATCTGTAAAAGAGGACATGCAAAAACATAAAACTGCAATGAAGACTATGGGACCACCAAAAGTTGAAGTACCTTCTCCGAAGGATTTCCTGAAGAAACATTCAAAGGAAAAAACTCTACCACCTCGTAGGTTTTATCATTCTTTTTAATGTTAAAAGTGCTAACAGATCATTTAGCTAGAATTATCTTACTGCCAATGAATATTAAGTGCTCATAGGTGAGAAGTTTACCTCATATTTAACAGAATCTGGCATTCTAGAAGAAAGTAGAAGTAGAGAATGTAGTGGAAAAAGAAGGTGGAGAATACTAAGTCGTCCCCCAAATAGACTTTCCCTGTGATGTGCAAGCATCTGACCTACAGCTTGGACTATCCAATAAAGCCCCACCTCCAGCCCCACAGGCCTCACCATCTTAGTCCCTAGCCAGACAATTTCAGTAACAAATAACGATTATGAGAAGAGTTTGAAACTCTAGTGAGAAGATAGCTTGGCATCTAAATCCGTCTGGTCTTTTCTGCAAGAGAAGAGAATTGCAACTGTTAGACCAGTTGAAGCAACTATCAGGCATGGGCTTTAACTCTCCCAGATCTCTAAGACCATTCAGACAGTAAATGAGTCCGGTGTAATGTAGGTGCCGTCATGATGACTGGGAGACAAAGCCAGCTTCTTGGGCATGTGTGCGGTCACACAGGGCCATGTGCTTAGAAGCTTGGTTTAATGCTCTGCTTTTGCCCTCTTGAAATTCTTAATTTTTGATGAAGGAGCTCCATGTTGTCATCTTGAACTAGGCCTTGCAAATTATGTAATTAATCATGGTCATAGAGTATATAGATAGTAGGGAGAGGGCTATCTGGAAAATGGACAGGTATGTATGCATGGAAGCAGCTTCTTCCCATCCTGGTTGTGTCTTTCCTGATGTTTTAGGACAATAGAGAGGAGAGGGAAATTAGTCTCTCTCTTTCACAAAGTTAGCATCAAGGAAATAATGCAACATCTCAAGCCCAGCTAGGATGTACCTTTCGACAAAAGTGAACTACTTCTCCCTATGGCAATATTTTATATCCCACAATCCTCCCTCATAACCCATAATGCCTTGACAAAGGATGAGGATATTATCAGGAAAGACGGAAAATGCAAATCTAAAAGTACAACATTCTTGCATAAATTCATGTCTTTCAGAAGTCTCTATTATCTCTCTTGAGGGGAGGCTTGGTATTTTGTGACCCACAACCACTTGAGAACACTGGAAAATCTTAAAATGGAATAAACTAATTCCATGATATAATTTTGATGATATAACTTGGGTTCTCATGCATCCTCTCTAGAGTTAAGCACATTATATAACACAAATACCAAGCTATTATAAAACCTAAATATCAAATAAGGGATAGGGGAAGAAGTCTATCTCTCCCCTCATAACAGGACAAAAAAACCCCACAAAATAATATTGTCCTTATGAATAATCAAGAAGGTTGGTTGCTGCAAGAGTTGAATCCAATGAGTTAAAGGTAATATAGACCCAGGCTACTTTGAGTCTCTTTTTGGATATTCTGTCATTTTGAACGCAATAGTTTTGAAGACGGGAATTTGCTAGACACACTGAACAATACTTAACAGATACATGAACATTTCTATAAATTCAGTTGCTAGAACGTCTGCATGACAACAAGGCTGTGTTGACATTGCCACTTTGATATAACCGTAAGAAAACAAACCATTTGGTTTTCAGATTTATTATCATAACTCCCAAGTACCTTGTGAAAAGACATCCTCATCCCATTTTCCAAGGCTTACCCCATTGCCAGCCCCTATGCCTGGGGTGAGAGAAAAGATGATGTTTAAATAGACATAAGGGAAAGATAGGCACCATCCACTGGACAACCACAACCAATCAAGGGTTGTAATTTACTCTACTTACTCACCTAAGAACGAATTATCAGTCTTTGTAAACTGCTTCCTCATTTCCTTAGAATTCAGCTTTACCTCTTATATACATTTCTAAAGCTACAGATTTCCTTATATTTATATTTGCATGCACTGTCAATTCATAATTAGGTCTCTAAATATTTTCAATGTAAGTATCAAGAGGATAAGTAACTGGGTTTTTAGGCAAACAGATTTTGCAAGCTTCATTGGGTTGAGTGTATCTGGTTGAAGGAAGCTCTTTGGGTTGTAACAACGAGCCCTTATTCTCTGCTCCAGGCTTTATAGGAACTCCACATTCAATTTCTAACATTGCTCATAACATCTCATTAATAGATAAATCGGAAGATATAGTTTTGGTAGATCAGAGATAGTAAACAATTTCACATATAATTCAAGCAAATATATACATTATAGTCTACATATCAAAATGCATTTTTTCCTTTCCCCCCTATAATGTAAACTCCACGAGAACAGGGACTTGTCTCTTGTTCATTGCTATATCTGCAGTTCCTGGAGCATTAACTGGGGACATAGTAATTCTCAACAAAAACATATTGCATTAATTAATGAATATTAATGATACTTATGATAAACTCCTTTATGATATTTCTGGGTGTGTAAATTAATATCAGAGGTGTTGGCTTGCTAAGGCTGCCATAACAAAGTATCACAGACTGAATAGCTTAAACAGAAATGTGTTTGGTACTGGTGTTAGGACTTCAACAGATGAATGCTGGGAGGCATACAATTCAGCTCATAACAAGAGGTTAATCCAGTCCTTAGACATTTAATAATATCTTTTTTCCTGCTAATAAAAGTGACATAAACTCATAAAAATTCAAACCGCAGAAATGAAAAAAGGCAAAGTACCTAGTAATTGTGAGGGGTGAAGATGTGGGTAAAGTTTTGTCAAGATGGGTGTTGCCTTCAGTTCTTGGAAATAAATTGTAATTCTCTTACATTTTAGCATTCTTACAAACCATTTTGAGGTGGTTCTATTAAAATAGATGAGTCAGAATGGTCATGTTGAAGAGGCTGTGTAGAAATGGCCAGTCTCATCTGCTGCTAATGAAGACTATGTGGTAGAGAGAAATAAATAAGATGAATTCTGGATAGTAATAATTTTAGGAAGTGAGGAACAATCAGGGAGGAGCGAACTGGAAACTTCAGCTGAGTTGCTAATTTTTATTCATTAAGCTACATGTTGGGGACAAAGCTCTTACATGATCTTCATACCTGATAATAAGAGTTCTAGTGAAAAAATCCATAATTCTTGGACTTTCATCAAGTTTGACTTATTGGTGACTTGACAGTAACTTTCCTCTGAAGAAAAAGTTACTAGTAATATTGGTAGTATTTAGAAAAGACTTCTAAAGTTTTTTGAAATTTTTTCAGTGAAAAAGCTAAACATTTATTACTGATAGCTTTGTAAGAAAATATTTTCACACTAGCTAGTAAAAATATACTAGTTAGCTAGCAGATGATTGGGAGGGCTTATCTTCTTCCCTTAGACTTGGATACTGTTCTTCAATATATTAAATGATTATGTTGTGCTTAATTTGGGGTGTTTATGATTACTGATGTTCCCCTAAATACTTGAATATATTATAAATAAAACTCTTAGGGGGCCCCTGGGTGGCTCAGTCATTTAGCGTCTGCCTTCAGTTCAGGTCACAATCCCAGGGTCCTGGGATGGAGCCCCGCTTCAGGATCCCTGTTCATTGGGGAGCCTGCCTCTCCCTCTCCCACTCACCCTGCTTGTATTCCCTCTCTTGCTGTCTCTCTCCGTCAAATAAATAAATAAAATCTTTAAAAAGAAAAACCCTCTAATATACTAGCGGTAAAATATCAAGATATTATAAATAATATTGAATAGCAATGTTTATAATTTAATATTAACAAGAAAATGTTGTGTTTAACAGAAAAAAAGTTTGATCGGAATGAGCCCAAAAAGCCTCCCGTGCCACTGAGGACTGAGCATCCGGTCATGGGAATACAGAGTGAAAAAAATTTTATAAATACAAATGCAGCCGATGTCATCATGGGAGTGGCTAAAAAGCCTAAGCCAATTTATGTTGACAAAAGAACTGGAGACAAGCATGATCTTGAAACCTCTGGACTAGTTCCAAAATACATCAATAAAAAGGTAGCCTTGTGATATAGTAATGAGACCTTAAATGCAAATAATTTAAGTATGGTGTTCAAAATGATTATCCATATTATTAGTAAAAGCGCTCTCACTGTGCAAATTATTCCTCTACAATCTGTGTTTGGTCCAAATCTAATGTGATGAAGTTATGGAGAATTTGAAATTAATAGCATCACGTAGTCCAGTAGAGGAAAACTCTCATTGTTTCCCTTAATTTCAGCTTTTAATATATTTAACAGTTACAGCAAACATCCTCTAAAAGATGTTAATTTTTAGTGTGGTGGAAATTTCATGAACAGCACAGTCATTACTAGGAGTCATTACTAAGAAATAACCTTTCAGAAAGTCCTGAGATTTAGTCATTAGGTTATAATATCTTGGTAACAGAATGAGGAAAAATGAAGAGGAAGATGATTTTAGAGCCATCCATCCTATCAATGTAGTGTAAATGAGTCACATTACAATTTCAACTTCCATGTGTCTGGAATAAAGCAGACGTTAAAGTACTGTACCATAATCTAGTCCTTTTGGGACCTTCATCTCTACCTGAAAAGGTGCTTACCAGATAGGCATACAATTTCATTGTTGAAAATTATAGGACCTTCAGTTTGTTTAGATATAGAAGATCTTTAAAATTTAAAGAGCTTACAAAAACACCTTATACAAAACCTATTTTACTTTGTACGCGTACACAGTGTAAAACTGCTTGGAACACACGTCGTAAAATGCGAATGCAAAATCCTAAAGAATGATAATCCATAACAATAAGGTGTGGCAAAAAAGAAAGGAAGGACAGAAGGAAGAAAGGAAGGAAGGAAGAGGAAAAACAGAAATTGCAATAGTGGTGTATGAGGGGTTTACATCGAGGTCGTCCAAGGATCTACCATGATGAATCCAACGCCAAACAGGAACCTCACAGCTGTTGTCAGAGTACACCACTTACTCTCTGCGAAACTCCTGTCACTCATTAAGCTAAGACACTTTCAGGAGACCTTAGCAGGTGTCTAAGGGTTGGCAGCACGGGGTGACAAAGTTGTTTCCGGCCTCTATGAATACTTCCTCTGGTGCCCTGAAGGCTTCTCATAGCCCTTGTCCCAATGAGGGTGGAAAAACAGAAATTTCACTCTTCTGGCTGGCTCTTTAAGGCAACTTCCAAACCACTATTTATCCACTAGGATGTAAAACCCTTCTTCTTTGCTGGTTATGCCACCAACTGCCCACGCTGTGCCCCTCCTTCTGGCTGCCTTCTGCCTAAGCTGTCCACTTTAATAAATTTTCTATCCTGAAGAGGAAATTGAGAGTATTCATCATGGAGACAGAAAAATATTAAGTTAGCCTCCCAGTGCTTGTTTACCAAGCCATGCAAACACTCTGCACCCATTAGACTCTTGGTGTTGCTGGCTGGGCCTTCAGGGCTCATGAAGGACTTTCTCAGCTTACTTTCCACTGATCAGAGCTATGTTTTTAAGACTTGGGGCACCTGAGTGGCTCAGTCAGTTGGGCAGCTGCCTTTGGCTCTGGTCATGATCTCAGGGTCCTGGGATCGAGCCCACATACTGCTCCTTGATCAGCCAGGAATCTGCTTCTCTCTCTGTCCTTCCCCTGCTCATTCTCTCTTTCTCTCTCTCTCTCAAATAAATAAATAAAATCCTATGTGAAGGAAATTATAAAGTTTTAAAAAAGATAAAACCTATTAATGGTAAGTGAGAGATCAAGTCTTTAAAGGGCAATGCCATTTTTTTAAAAAGTGAGGGAACCTCATGTTTTAGTTTCAAGTAAAATATTGTGTGTGCATTTGTGCCATGGGAAACCATCTGTGAAAACAAATGGAAGCACTGATGATTGCCTGAGGTCTACGGCAATGGACGTGAGACCTCGTCTCAAATTCTGTCTCTGCCCCTTAACTCTGTGATCTTTCACACGTTATTAGATTTATCACAGGGTTGTAGTGAGAATTAAATGATATAAAATCTATCAAGCACTTGATACACTATCTGGCACCTAATAAAAGTTCAATAGAGAGTGGGTATTAGTAATTATTACATTAAGAATATTCATTAGCCCTTAGTGGTCCAGCCCTGGGAATATTTTGGATCACTGAAGCTTTTAGCCATGTGCAAGACATTTCTTCTTCCTAAAATATATTACGTTATTCCCCTTATTAAACAGAATATGCCCAATATAATTTAATGTTTTGGTGATGACTCAGAATCATTGTTATGAGCATCAGTAACTACTTAGTTGTGATGAAGTTTTGCCCTCAGTGTTTGCTGAAATGAATTGGACTATTTACCACTGCTCTAACTTACCAGAATACTGTGCACTTAGAATTTATTTGTAGAGTGTTTTGCAACTTGCCAGAACACACTTATAGCTAGGATTTCAAACTCTCCTTTTTAAAGCCAGGATGGGTTAAGTTATGCTTTGGTAAAAAAATAACCCCAATTTCAGCAGCTAAAAGCAAGTAAGTTTTATTGTTTGCTTATGCTCCACGTCCATTAAGGATTGGAAGCTCTTCTTCTTGTCCTCATTCCAAGACCCAGGCAAACTGAAATATTTCCCATCATTATACTAAGTAGAAAAAGAACATGGCAAGTCATCTATTAATTCTTGAGGCTTCTACCCAAAAGGGACAGAGGTTACTTGCACTATCACTGGGCAAGTCAGGTCACATGATCACATCTTACTTCAAGTGGATGAGCAAAGTGTTGTCTCATCAACTGCCTAGAAGGAGAAGAACCAGAAGGTTTACAAATAAGTTTAATGACTATCCTACCTCTTAACTGCTGCTTCCTCAGAGAGTTTTTCACTGAGCTCCTTACTTATCTGAAATAGATCCTATTTCTTTCTTCCCCTTACTATTCTTTGTTTCAGTTTGGAGCACTGATACATATATTATTTTATACTCTATTTTTCGTGAGTTTCTCTCACCACAGAATGCACATTCCATAAGGATAGAAATCTTGTCTTTCTTACTCACTAGTATACCTGGCATCAAGTAAATTCTCAAATAATTTTTTGAAAAATAAACAAGGAATAGTATAGTTCGATTTCTGTACGCAGTGATATCAAGCATAGTCGCTAGTCTGAAAAAAAAATCACAGCAGATTGTTTCACTGTCAGTCCTTGTAAGCGGCCCAGGAAACTTCAAAATGGATTTTGCATTCCAAAAACAACCTTAGGGTCCCAAGTGTTTTTACTTAAAGCAGATGTGCGTTGTGTATTTGGTTTTTTACTATACTTTGGAAGCATTTATCCTCTTTTATGTAAGGAGAACTTGCAAAAGAGACCTCAAGATATTCAAGATATTTAAAGGTAAAAGCTGAAGCACCTAAAAGAAATAAAAGCCAACTCTTAGAGGTAAAACCAGGGCTGAGTCATCAGCCAGGAACAGGTGCTGGAAACATTCAGAAGAGAAGAAACAAGCAGCCACAATAACAATTCAGATGGTTTTAAAAGCCGAGAATCAACTAGTTCCCAATGGGAAAAGAAAAACAGACAAGCAAACATTGAATTTTGTCAATTTGCCATGTTTGGAGCAAAGGCTTTGCTCCAAAAAATCTGTAACATTTCTTTTTCTCCCAGTCATTAGTTGATATATGCATGTATGTAAGACTGCATTCAGGATATTAATTTTTTTTTCTGAAACATCCTTATAAGGATTATGGCATCACACCAGAATATATATGTAAGCGAAATGAGGAAGTTAGGAAAGCCCAAGAAGAATATGATAATTATATCCAGGAAAACCTTAGGAAAGCAGCTATGAAAAGGCTGTCTGATGAAGAAAGAGAGGCCGTTCTGCAGGTAAGTGTTCTGTAATTTATATTCATATGTAGTAGTCCTTTGGAACATCTCTGAAGGAAGGGTCCATCCACCATCAATGACTATTATAAGCCGCGTCTTGACTTTGAATCAGAACGCTCTCTTTGGGTTATGGTGAGGAGTATGTGCGGTACACTGACCCTTTGGGGAGAGCAAAAGTTATACTAGGAATTATTGGATAATATTTTGTTTCCAATTTTGTGAACTTCCGTTTTTTCTTGGGGGCAGTTAATGTTGTATGAAGCCCGCCTTCTGCTTCAGCCAACATGAGTAAGTAAAGCCAAAAGGCATTTTTATTTTTCTTGTCGTGTCCCTAGATTTTTCAAAAATAATATCCATAAAATAGATATTTTTCACTAGATGGAGCTCTAGAATAATTGAAGCTGCTCTTAGGCCAACTTTTTTTTTTTCTTTCCTATAAGCCAAATGTCCAAATTTTAAAATAAGCAGGTGTTAGGTTTTTTTATATATTTTCTTTATTTTGAATAAAATAGGCATAGAGATATATGATCTTATGTGTTTACTGCAAGTCTTTTATCTGAAGCATATACAATATCATTAGAGAGTATTTATTAAGCACCTAATTGTACTCTTCTATAGTCAATGATATCTCTTATAGAGGTAAAACTAGTACTTTATTCTTGTTTTGTTGTTTTGAAAGATTTCTACAAAGTCATTTCTAGTGACCTTTTAAAAACAGAAAAAAAAATTTTGTCCACATAAACTTCTGTTGAAAATAGATTTGTAAGCTGTTTAAATTCCTAATATTTTATTAATGTTATAATCATTATTAAACATTTACTAATTCCTGTTTTGCATTAAGTATCATGCTAAGCCTCAAGGATATTAAAAAGGACATAAGATAAAATTCTACTATAGATAATGTTGTAATATAATGGAGGAGAGGTGATATGTATATATGCACATATGTAGGTGTGTGTGTGTGTGTGTGTGTGTGTGTGTGTGTTAGGTAGAGATCATAAGTTTTATCAGGTTCTAAGACTGAGTATCTGATGAAGGATTTAGCTTGGCCTTAAACTTCAGAGTAAGAGGGTCTTCTGGACAGCAGAACTGACCTAAGGGCAAAGACTGTGTCTCTTTGTTGACAGCAGTCTCCTTTGTGCCTAACTTGGTGCCACAGTATAAACACGGAGGCTTAATATTGGTGTGCTGGAAAGAAGAAAGGAAGAAGGTAGGCAAGAAGGCTAGCGGACATGGAGGTGGGACTTTGGATGTCATTTTCAGAGTACTGGTTTTTGGTCCATTCTCTCTTTCCCTTTCTCTCTTGCTCTTTCTCTTTCTCCTTCTTGCACTCCACCTCTCTCTAGTTTGAATCTACCATTTATAGAAAGTACATGCTTTTGTGAAAGCCAGGTTTTTATATCTAACCAATGCTGAAAAAAAGAACACAAAACCACCAGTGGATAGATCATCCAGACAGAAAATCAATAAGGAAACCTCAGCCTTAAACAACACATTAGACCAGACGCACTTAACAGAGAGAAACAGAACATTCCATCCCAAACCCGAATACACATTCTTCTCAAGTGTTCTTGAGAACGTTTTCCAGGATAGATCGTATGTTAAGCCACAAAACAAGTCTCAATAAATTTAAGAAGACTGAAATCATATCAAGCATCTTTTCCACTTATAACAGTATAAAACTAAAAATCAAATACAAGAAGAAAACTGGAAAAATCACAAACATATGGAGATTAAATAATATGCTAATGAACAACTAATGGCTCAATGAAGAAATCAAAGGAGAATTCCAAAAATACTTTGGGGGTGCCTGAGTGGCTCAGTCAGTCAAGTGTTTGACTCTTTGTTTTGGCTCAGGTCATGATCTCAGGGTCGTGAGATCAAGCCCTATGTTGGGCTCCATGCTCAGTGTAGTCTGCTTGAGATTCTCTGTCTCCCTCTCCTTGGGCCTCTCCTCCTGCTTCCGCATTCTCCCTAAATAAATAAAATCTTAAAAAAAAAATACTTTCAGGCAAATGAAAATAGAAATACAACCAAAATCTATGGGATGACAGTTTAAGAGGGAATTTTATAACAACAAAAATCTCAAGCACACCATCTAACTTTACACCTAAGGGAACCAGAAAAAGAAGAACAAAAGAAGCCCAAAGTTCTGGAAGGAAGGAAATAATAAAGATGGAATAATAAAGAGTGGAAATAAATGAAATAGAAACTAAAAGACTAGAAAAGATCAATGAAAGTAAGAGCTGGTTCTCTAAAAAGATAAACTAAATTAACCTTTAGCTAGGCTCACTAAGAAAAAAGAGAGAGAGGGCCTAAATAAATAAAATCAGAAATGAAAGAGAAAAAATTACAACTGAACACAGGAATACAAATGATCATAAAAGAATACTATGAACAGGTCTATGCCAACATTTTGGATATCTAAAAGAAATGGATAAATTCCTAGAAACATACAATCTTCCAAGACTGAATCATGAAGAAGTAGAAAATCTGCATAGACCAAGTACTAGTAAGTAGATTTAAACAGTAATCAGAAAACTCCCAACAAATGAAAGTTCAGGGCCAGATGGCTTCACTGACGAATTCTACCAAACATTCAAAGATTTAACATCTATCCTCCTCAAACTCTTCCAAGAAATCGAACATGAGGGAAGCCTTCCAAATTCATTTTACAAGGCCAGCATTACCCTGATACCAAAACAATTCAAGGACACCACATACGCTCGCAAATCATAGGCCGTAAACATCCCTGTTGAACATCATACAAAATCCTCAACAAAATATTAGCAAATCAATTTCAACAATTCATTAAATATATCATTTACTGTGATCAAGTGGGATTTATTCCAGGGATGAAAAGATGGCTCAGTATCCATAAATCAATCAATATTGATATAATATAGTAATAAAATGAAGGATAAAAACCATATGATTATCTCAATAGATGCAGCAAAAGCATTTGACAATATTCAACACCAGTTTAATGATAAAATCAACATAATAAAGGCTGTCTATGACAAGCCCACAGCTAACATCATGTGAACAGTGAAAAACTGAGAACTTTTCCTTTAAGATCAGGAATAAGACAAGATGCTCACTCAACACTTTCATTCAACACAGCATTGGAAGTGCTACACAGAACAATTAGGCAGGAAAAAGAAATAAAAGCCATTCAAATTGGAAAAGAAGTAAAACTCACTACTTGTGGATGACGTGATTTTATATATAAAGACTCCTCCAAACATCTCTTAGAACTAGTAAACAGGGGCGCCTGGGTGGCTCAGTGGGTTAAAGCCTCTGCCTTCAGCTCAGGTCATGATCCCAAGGGCCTGGGATCGAGCACCGCATTGGGCTCTCTGCTCAGCGGGGAGCCTGCTTCCCGCCGCCGCCTGCCTCTCTGCCTACTTGTGATCTCTGTCTGTCAAATAAATAAATAAAATCTTTAAAAAAAAAGAACTAGTAAACAAATTTAGTAAAGTTGCATGGCATAAAATCCATATACAAAAATCTGTTGTGTTTTTATACACTAACAGCAAACTATTAGAAACAGAAATTAAGAGACTAATTCCAGTTACAGTTGCAATAAAAAGAATAAAATACCTAGGAATAAATTTAACCAAAAGGTGAAAGATCTGTGCACTGAAAACTTAGAAGACATTGATGAAAGAAATTAAAGAAGGCAGACTAAATTGAAAGATATCTCCTGTTCATGGATCAAAAGAATTTATATATATATATATATATATATATATATTTTTTTTTTTAAACTTTATTTATTTGACAGAGATCACAAGTAGGCAGAGAGGCAGGCAGAGAGAGAGAGAGAGAGAGAGGAGGAACCAGGCTCCCCGCTGAGCAGAGAGCCCAATGCGGGGCTTGATCCCAGGACCCTGGGATCATGACCTAACCCGAAGGCAGAGGCTTTAACCCACTGAACCACCCAGGTGTCCCCCCCTTTTTAAAGATTTTATTTATTTAAATAATTTATATTGTTAAAATACCCCTAATACTCAAAGCAATCTACAGATTCAATGCAATCCCTATCAAAATTTTTCACAGAAATGGAACAATAGCATTTTTCAGAGAAATGGAACAAATAATCCTAAAACTTGTGTAGCACCACAAAAGATCCCCAACAGCCAAAGTAATCTTGAGAAAGAAGTACAAAGTTGAAGGCATCACACTCCCTGATTTCAAACTGCATTACTAAGATATAGTAATTAAAAAACAATGTGGCAATGGCATAAAACAGACACATAGATCAAAGGTACAGAATAGACAGCCCCAAAATAAACTCATGCATATATGGTCAATTAATTTATGACAAATGAGGCAAGAATATACAGTGAGAAAAGAACAGTCTTCTCAAAAAGGGTATTGGGAAAAATGGACAACCAAACACGAATGAAACTGGACCATTATCTTACACCATATGCAAAAATTAACTCAAGATCGGTTAAAGACCTGAATGTAGACCTGAAGCCATAAAATTCCTAGAAGAAAACCTAGGTGGCAAACTCCTTAATATCCCTCTTGGCAATGGTTTTTTGGATCCTGACTCTAAAGGCAAGGGCGACAAAAGCAAAAATGAACACCTGGGACGACATCAAACCAGAAAGCTTCTGCACAGAGAAGGAAACCATCAACAAAATGAAAAGGCAACTTCCTGAAGGGAAGATATTTGCAAATCGTCTATCTGATAAGAGGTTAATATCCAAAATATATAAAGAACTCCTACAATTCAACCACCACCACAACAAAACACCCCCAAACAAACCAATTAAAAAACAGGCAGAGGACCTGAATAGATATTTTCCCAAAGAAGAGATACGGACTGGCACATGAAAAGACGCTCAACATCACCAATGATTGGGGAAATGCAAATTCAAAACCACAATGAAATACCACCTCACACCTGTCAGAATGGCTTTTATCAAACGGACAATAAATAACAAGCGTTGGTGATGATATAGAGAAAAGGGAACACCTGTGCCCTGTTGGCAGGAATGCAAATTGGTGCAGCTGCTGTGAGAAACAGTATGGAGGTTCCTCAAAAATTAAAAATAGAACTACCATATGATCCAGCGATCCCTCTTTTGGGTATTTATCCAAAGAGAATGAAGACAACTCATTTGAAAGTGTATATGTCCCCACCATGTTCACTGTAGCATTATTTACAATAGCCAAGATATGGAAGCAACCTCCCCAATGATGTCCGAATGGATTAGGAAGATGGGACGTGTGTGTGTGTGTGTGTGTGTGTGTGTGTGTGTATGTGTGTGTGATGCGAAGTGAAATAAGTCACACACAAAAAGACATTCTATGCAATTCCACTTACACATGGAATCTAAAAAGCAAAACAAACAAAGCAAAACAGAACTCATAAAAAGAGCACAGAGTGGCGGTTGCCAGAGGGGAAAGAGGCCGGGGGTAGGTGAAGTGGGTGAAGGGAATCAAGAGATACAAACTTCCATTAATAAAATAAGTCAGGGGGGGCACCTGGGTGGCTCAGTGGGTTGAGCCTCTGCCTTTGGTCAGGTCATGATCTCAGAGTCCTGGGATCGAGCCCCACATCAGGCTCTCTGCTTAGCGGGGAGCCTGCTTCCTCCTCTCTCTCTGCCTGCCTCTCTGCCTACTTGTGATCTCTCTCTCTGTCAAATAAATAAAATCTTAAAAAAAAATAAAATAAGTCTGGGGATGTAGTGTACCCCATGATGACGCTAGTCAGTAATATTGTGTCATATATTTGAAAGTGTGAATCTTAAAAGTCTTCATCCCAAGAAAAAAATATTTTCTATCTTTGTACAGTGACACTGTAGCTAGACTCATGCTGATTATTCCATAATGTATATGAATATCAAATCATTATGTTGTACACCTGAAACGGATATTATGTAATATTCTACTTTAAAAAAAAAACAAAAACATTGGGCACCTGGGTGGCTTAGTGGGTTAAGCCTCTGCCTTCGGCTCAGGTTGTGATCCCAGGGTCCTAGGATCGAGCCCCGCATCAGGCTCTCTGCTCAGCAGGGAGCCTGCTTCCCCCTCTCTCTCTGCCTGCCTCTCTGCCTACTTGTGATCTCTGTCTGTCAAATAAATAAATAAAATATTAAAAAAAAAAACACACACACAGGAAAAGAGAGGAACAAGAACTTCCCTCAGAAGGAAAGGCCCCTCTGTCTTGTGTTTTTTTGGCTCTAGGGGAAAAGCAGCCCTCAGTTTCCTAATATGGTCACTACAGATTTGATAGGCTAATAGCAGACCCTTCCTATATGTCTTATTAAGGTACTCTAGCTACCATGGTAACGGAGGCACCAGCTCTGGTCCTGATAAACCCCATCACGTTTCCCTCCCTGAGTAAGAGCTGCCCACAGCACTAATAAGACAGTATATATAGTTGTATGTCCCGGAGTAGGCCACATCCTGCTCATTCTTCATAAAATAACAGTCTCACTATACCTAGAGGATCATCTGGTCTAATCATTTCACACTTCCCATTGGACATATGAGGATATAAAATGAAAATATATTAAGTTTTATTCGTTTATCTATTCATTCACTTGAACAGGCACTGTGTCCAGCCCAGGGGATACTACTGTGAGCGAGACAAATGCACTCTTTACCGACAGTGAACTCTGAGTTTGGTTTACACTTGCCCTTGGTTCCAAAATTAGCAAGGAGCCAAACAGGGACTAAAACCCACATCGGCCAATTCCTAGGCCAGTGCTCCCCCATGACATTGTACATGTGTGCATAGGAAGTAACAAAAGGAAGCTTGTCAGTCGGAGATCCAGCAGGAAATACAAGGCACCACCAGCCAGGATCCTGAAGGGCAATTATGAAGGAACTATTTACAGAAGGAAAGCAGGGCTAAGGGAGCCAACAACAACAAAAAAAACCCTGAAGCACCCCAGGACTAAGGACAGTGGGAATCCATCACTACCCTAGGCTCAAAGGGCAGAGGCAAGAAACAGTGTTACCAGAGCCTGGTAAGATCTGGAGCCTGGAAGAGGGGGCTACTGAGCAGTGTTGCCCTTACAGACACATGAGCCAGAATGAGGGTCCAGGTAGCATCAAGGGAGAGGAAGAAGAAATGCCCCAACCTCTCTCTCTCTCCCACCAGCGCTGCACTCAGAGGCTGGAGGTTGAAAGAGCGGGGCAATGGTGTGGGGAGCCACCTCATGCCACCCTGCCCTGGTCCCCAAGCAGATGAAATCCTTCATGGAACTGAAGGCACTTCTTACTTATTTTATGACTGCTTCTCCCTATTTGAAGCTTTTCTCAAACTAACAATAAAAAAAAATAAAATAAAATACAAAAGAGAAAAAGTCAACTAAGAAAAAAAGAAAATCACTATTCCTGCAATGAATAAAAGATTTTTTCAGTGAAATAACAGAAATAAGTCTTAAAAACAGCAGAGAGGCTATGTCAATATAATATACCAGTTACATTTAGTTCCCATCCCTGCCTGTTGACTTTGATTCAAAGGTTTTTGTACACACTGGAAGATAAAGCAAACTATCCTTTAAAAGATAAAGGCTGCAGAGAAAAAGTGTAGCTGCTGTGACCACAAGTAATGTGGAAATACCACTTAAGGAGCTATGAAAAACCTTTGATATTTGAAAGTGTATAAATGCATAGATTTCCTCCCTGCGGTACATACCCCTGTGGAGCACTGTGGAAACATAGTTCCTGTTTCATAATGAAAGGCTATGAAAAAGGAATTCTTCTGAGGACACCTTTTTGGAATATATCTCATACACTATGAAGAACTGTGCTAACATGTAACCTGGATGTTTTTCCTCATTCTTTGCCTTTCCTTAAATCTTCCATTTCTTCTCACTCAATAAGTGTTCAAAATCTGTTGCCCTTTTCCCCAGCCAACCTGGTCTATACAGTGTACCTTCTCCCTAGCATCATGGGCCCAACCAAGCACAGGAATAAATCACTGAAATTTTGTTATCCCCCAAAAGTTTCTACAAGATTAAATTTGTACTATGAGGGCTTATTATGAAGATACTATTATATAAGACACTTCTAATCTTGTCTTACACCTAAATATACAGTCATGGATTTCAAGCACCATATTTTCAAGGCAATATTTTATGTATTTATTTATTTATTTGAAGATTTAATTTATTTATTTGACAGAGATCACAAGTAGGCAGAGAGGCAGGCAGAGAGAGCAGGGGGCGGGGAACTGAGCAGAGAGCCTGATGCGGGGCTCGATCCCAGGGTCCTGGGATCTTGACCTGAGCCAAAGGCAGAGGCTTTAACCCACCCAGGCGCCCCAAGGCAATATTTTAAATTCAACTTTCAGTTTGGCCTTTTGTTTTTGTGTAAATAAAGTGATTTGTATACCTATAGTGAATAACAGAAAGTGTTAATTTTGCAAAAGTTTCATAGCTTGAGTTTGATTAGAGGTTTCAGCCCATTTTGTCAATGATACCCTCTAGTGCACTGTGATGAGAAATGGGGACTAGGCAGATGAAAAGAACTTTTATTGCTCCTTAGAGATCCCTAATTTTGAATCTGTCAGCTTCTGAGAATATAAAGCATTAACTACATTACTGAATTAGCATGTGTGTTACATTTAATGACATCTCAGTTATTTCTGGTATACATTAATGGAAAGCATAGACCTCTTGACTATATGAAGCATTCTTTCTAATATATTGAAAAAATACATAAAAGATCATCTCCTGTTACATTGAATTTTGGCATTTTGTACAATGCCATTTAGTCAAATATATGCAAACATGCCATGGGAGTCCAAATCAGGTCTTTTGATGAATGGGGATAATGGTTCAAAACTATAAAATTCTTTTTTTTTTCATTAACATATAATGTATTGTTTCAGGGGTACAGGTCTGTGATTCATCAGTCTTACACAATTCACAGCAACCATCATAGCACATACCCTCCCCAACAGAACTATAAAATTCTAAAGAAAAAAACTAAAATTTTTATAAGAAATAACTTCCTATTCAAAAATATGTCTTGCTTGGGGGCGGGGGGGCATCGATTCTTACGTGTTTTTACCGAAGCATTTGCTGTGAGCTTAGTTTCATACTACTCGTAATTCAGCATATGCATATTTAATGGCAATAACGAGTAACAGTAACATTAAAAACAGAGCAAATAAATACTCCCTCTGGGAACTGAGCACACAATCGAGGACAGGATTTGGCCTCTGCACAGTATTTTCTGTTACTGTAGCCAAGGACTCGATAAATACATATCATTTTGTAAAGTTATTTTCATCAGTTTCCCTTACCTATTTACATTTCTCTTCACTATATTTTTTTAACCGTTTCTGTTACTTTTGCAGCTACCTGAGTATTTACAGTTCTCGTTCCCCTTTGCAGGGGCTGAAGAAGAACTGGGAGGAGGTGCATAAGGAGTTTCAGTCCCTCTCGGTGTTCATCGACTCCATCCCAAAGAAGATCCGCAAGCAGAAGCTGGAAGAAGAAATGAAGCAACTGGAACATGACATCGGTGTCATCGAAAAGCACAAAATTATTTACATCGCCAATAAGAAGTAATAGATTAAAAAAAAATGGAGTCATTTTAACATAGGGGAAAAAGGTGAAACTTTGCCTTTCAAAGGGGAAAATACTATGAAGAGAATAAAAATAGTTTTGACCAAAATGCTGAAGCAATGATTAAAGGGTAATCGAATTATTCTACTGACGTGAGAGAAAAATGTTTTTTCACCAGCGTTAGGTTTTCCACATATAAATGGAAGTTTGATGTGGCGTGTTCCAGTCTCTGGGTGATCCATTACTTTCACACACTTGTTTCCCAGAAACATTCATTTCTGGGTGCTGAAGAATAAAGTCAGCTCTCAGAACTTCAAATTTTTTCTATTCTGATGATACAAAGAGCACAACATTAAAAACCGTGTAGAATTCTGAATTGGACTTAGTGGTGTATGCTTTCTTCCTACTCCCATGCTTTCTGCACATTGCTTAAGATTCCCACACATTTAACAGCAAGCAATTTCCTTTTTTCTTTTTTTAAAAGATTTTATTTATGTATTTGACAGAAAGAGATCACAAGTAGGCAGAGAGGCAGGCAGAGAGAGAGTGGGAAGCGGGCTCCCCGCTGAGCAGAGAGCCCGATGTGGGGCTCGATCTCAGGACCCTGAGATCATGACCTGAGCCGAAGGCAGAGGCTTAACCCACCAAGCCACCCAGGTGCCCCAACAGCATGCAATTTCTGATAGCCTCTGTCATTTGCAGCTCTTCTCAACTGTAGACACTGTCAATGTCCATAACGCTAGCTATGCTGAAGGGCTTATGTTGGGAGGAAGAAAAGTGAAGACGGTAACATAAAATCAAGAAGACAACTTAGAAAATGCATCACTGAGGATAATCAGAGAGAATAGCCTTCTTCCAGGCATACCAACTTTTAAGAACTTTGCTACTCCAAGTGCTTTATTCCATAATTCACTAGAGGTGTTTCACTAAAATGGGATGTTCCTTTTTCTTTTTTTGTTCCTATATACCTATCTGGTGAATTCTAAAGTTTCCACTTGTATGATTAATTTATTAAGCAATAAGTGTATGCAAGTAGAGCAGCCTTTAATTCAAAATAAGTGTATAAGGAAAGTCTAAAAAGAAAAGATTCTTGTATGAAATTTTAACTTAGAGAAATTCAGTAAAACATGAAATACAATATATCAGAGCTATCACAATGCCTGCTGCTTACACTGATTTTTATCTAATGGATGATAGGGAAAAAATAGTATTTATTTTTAGCTTTTTGACACACAGAATTTGAGAGCATTGTACAAAAGTTTAATTGATTAAAAATGATTATATACAAATATTTTTGATAACTCACTTTAAACTTTTTTCACCTCTTTTTATGAACCTCATTTCTGTATTTATTACCTTGGGGCAAGTATTTGAGCCTAAAAGCCAAAGTTCATTCCTGCAGCTAGTTCGACTTGGTTTTTATTCCTATTCCAAAGAGCTCTGAGCGGAATAAAGATCTCATGGTCTGGCCCCTTGCCTGTGATCTTCAGCTTGGTTCCTTGAAATGCTGCCCCCTCCCCACTGTAGGGGTCATTCCTATAATACTGAGGTATAGAGCCTCCGCCCCACACCCAATCTTTGCACAGTTTCCTCTGCCCTTTTCTTTCTACTCCTGCATATCTGCCCGGAGAAACTCTGGTCTTCAAGAGTTGGGTCACATTAGACTTCCGTGACACCCCTTTTTGACTCCTTGGATTCAGTCCTCCTATTCCAGTATTGCTCATATTGTATTGTGTGTATGTGATTATCTGCAGTTTCCCACAAAACTGCAAACTTCTGGGGGAGAAGGGACCATATTTTTTCGTCTGCATTCCCTAAAATCTACATCATAGAAGGTGCTCAAAAAACTTTTGTGAAAAAATGAATGATGTCCAAACGTATATTTTAATGACCCATTGCTATTATTATCATGACATAAATCAGACTTAGAGGATAGGGATTTTGACTACTAAACAAGGCAATTGCTACCCTAGCAACGAGCTGCATGAGCAAGATGGGAGAAGGCAATCTCTTGTCATGCTTATGAGCTCAAGCTCTGGAGTCAGGCTGATTCAAGGTCACATCCCAGCTCAGCACTTAACCGTGCTTCAACATCTTTTTAGGACATGTTTTCATAGTCTAGATGGGGTTGATAACCTATAGCAGTGCTTTATAGAGTTGTGATAGGAACAGAATGAAACAATGTGTGCATAACAGCCTAACAGCATAATTCCTGGCATGTAGAAAGACAATACATTCCTTGCTAAGGTTTATTATTAAGAATCCTTCAATTCTGGGGGCAACTGGGTGATTGGTTGGTCAAGTGTCTAACTCTTGGTTTCAGCTCAAGTCATGATCTCAGGGTCATGGGATTGAGCCCTGTGTGAGGTTCCATGCTGGGCATGGAGCCTGGTCAAGATTCTCTCTCTCTCTCTCTCTCTGCAACACCCCCCCCCACCCCCGCCGCCAAGCTCATGCTCTCTCAGAAAAAAACAAAAACAAAAACAAACAAAAAACCAAAAAATGAACAAAGAACACGTCTCAATTCTGTAGTACTTTTATCCAGTTGCTTCTGGGCCCATTAGCATATTATCAATAGAACTTCCCAAGCTTATAAAGTCCAGTCGCAGGAAAGGACTTGAATGAACAGTTTAGAAGTCCTCGCCTGAAATTACCCCAGTCTGGCTCCTCAGTGGCACACGCAGATGATAACTGTATTTGGAAACTGCTATCTTTAATAACTGGCAAAAACTTGGCAATACTTCCTGAATTACTCAGCACAGATATTCCCCCCCCCACCCCCAAGAAAGATAAGCTTATGTCAGTAATGCTGCCAAGCGTCACTAAGGAAAGAAGTGCGCAAGGTTGTCTCCAACAAAGCCTCATGGGTGACATTTATTAGTGAATTAATGTGGCCCAGAGCCTGACCTCACGTCTGAGGGCCCACAGGTTCACTGTTCTCAGGACCTCAGAGACCAGTGCACATGTATTAAAAGGCATAGGACTCTTGAGTTGCTACCTGAATATCAATTTTTTATTATGATAAAATACATTTAAAAACTCACTATCTTAAGCATTTTTAAGTGCACAGTTCAGTGGGATTAAATATGTTCCATGCCTTGTGCATCCATCACCACCATCTTTCTCCGTAAGTCTTTTCATCTTATAAAATAAACCCATACCCTCTAAACAGTAACTCCCCATTCTCCCCCCAGCCCCCTGCAACTGCCATTCTACTTTCTGTCTCCATGACACTTACAAATAGACTAAAGAATTAATAGAAGTTGGAAAAAAGAAGGTGGGAAAGAGGATTGTAGAAGTCAAAAATTCCAAGCACAATGTATGAAGAATATGGGGCAGGGAACACTCAACCCAAAGGACAAAGACAGCCATTGGGGCTGGAGTATACAGAGAAAGGAGAAGGATTCAAGCTGAAGATGAAGAGGGAAGCAAAGGGCATTAACATGTTCTAAGCATAGAGGGAGCATAATACAACCTATTTTTAAATGATCACTCACTACATGGGTGAAAGTAGAAGAATGAATGAATGTGGAGAGACTAGGAGACTATCATAGTCCTCCAGGTAAAGAACATAGTGGCATATACCAGTGCCATGGTATATAAAAAGAAATAAAAAATATATAAAAAGAAATATATAAAAAATAAAAAAATGTAACTCGGTGATCGATTGAAAAGGGAGGAGGAGGGAGATTTCAAGGACGACCACCAAATTTATGATTTTAGCAGCCAGGCAATGGAAGTGCCATTTTCCAAGATGGAGAAATCTAAAGGCAGACCAGACTGGTGAGGATAGGTGAAGAGATCAAGAATGTAATTTTAGACCTTTATATTTATGACAATCTTGTGACATTTAGTTGGAGATAGATAGATGACGATAAATGATGGTGACAGATAAAATTTTACATATGTATTTATGACAATTCTGTGACATCTATTTAGAGATAGATGATATAGATAGGTGGATGGATGGATAGGTAGATAGATAGATAGATAGATAGATAGATAGATAGATAGATAGATATTTGAGACAGAGGGGCGCCTGGGTGGCTCAGTTGGTTAAGTGTCTGACTCTTGATTTTAGTCAGTTCTTGATCTCAGGGTTGTGAGATCCAACCCACTGTTGGGCTCTGTGCTGTGCATGAAGCGTGCTTGGGATTCTCCCTCTCCCTTTGCCCCTCCATGCACAAGCTTACTCTCTCTCTTTCTCTGTCTCTAAAAAAAAAGAAAGAAAGAAAGAAAGAAAAGAGAAAGAAAAGAAAAAAAAAAGAAAAGAGATCTGGGATAGAGCTATAATTCTGAGAATTCATCAGCATGAATGAGATCACCTTGGGACAAAGTATCCAGTGAGAAGACAATGAATGAGGTCTCAATGACTCTACCATGTAGAAGTCAGATGGGAGAGCAGGAAGGAGCAAGTAGATGAGAGAATGAGTGGCCTGAGATGTCAGAAGAAAACCAAGGGAAGTTCAAAAGGAAGCCAAGGAAGTTCAAAAAAGAAGGACCCTTTTCCTAAAGGAGATGTTGGACGAAGGGAATGAAATTCTCAACACCCCAGCTGGGTTTTCCTCTCCCCGGCTCTGAGCAGGAAGACACAGGTCAACTACTACCTTGGCTCCCCTGCTCCTGTTCTGTATTTGCAGTTCAAACTCTTATGCTGAAATCCTCTTATCTCTCTAGATATGTTAATGTCATTGGCCAATGTCACAAGACTACCATGTGACTTAACTTGTCTATTAATACAGCCCACATTAAAGGTTTGACCACCAAAGCCAAGGATACTTTTCAACGGCTCAAGAAAATTTTTTGGCAGGTGAGAAGGCCCATGCTGATTAAAAGCACAATTAACTCTTTTTTAATATTACTATGTTATGTTAGTCACCATACAGTACACCATTAGTTTTTGATGTAGTGTTCCATGATTCATTGTTTGCGTATAACACCCAGTGCTCCATGCACTACGTGCCCTGCTTAATACCCATCACCAGGCTAACCCTCCTTAATACCCATTACCCCCTTCCCCTCTGAAACCCTCACTTGGTTTCCTGTAGTCCTTAGTCTCTCATGGTTCATCTCCCCTTCTGATTCCCCCCCCCACCTTACACCAGTTAGAATGGCAAAAATTGACAAGGCAGGAAGCACAATTAATTCTTAAGAGGGCAATCTAACTTCTCTCATTTCCAAGTTCTTAGTAACCCACAGAAGGTGATTTGTTCATAAACACTGGTTATTCCAAGTAAAAGACAAGCATAGATAAGGGAAAAAAGAGCAAGATAATTTTTCTGGAGGGTTTGTTTCTTCCTGGCTGAGACCTGCTATGGTGAAAAAAATTTGGCTCTGGTGGTTAAGTTACGTGACCTTTGGGAAATCACTCAGTGTCCCTCAACCTTAGTCTCTTCATCTTTAAAGCAAAGAAACTGAAGTCGGTTTTGTTCAACCCTCCCTCCAGTTCTAATGGTCTGTCGCTCTCAAAGTACACGACTATTTTAA